GTTCCTCGTAGATGGTTCTTATTCAGTAATTTGTACTTTAATTTATCGCGTTTGGCCTGATATTACGACTGTTGTGAACGTTGGCTTGCCGCTTTATTGCCGTCAAGTGACACCTCTTGAGACTGTACCCAACAGTCGCTTCTTGTTTGCCACTCTTGACTGTCATTCCCTACTGAATTGATGCGCGCCATACGGAAGGTAAACCTGTGCAATAAGAAGTGGTGACTTATGAAGTGCCATGTGAGCAAGAACCCCTGTACGACATTTCAATACATTCCACTGTTGTGGTGATGTCCAAGACAGACCCTATCTCTCATGAGAACAGTTACAACTGGATAAGACTGGTCATGCGTGATTTGACCACGTCCGCAACGGAGAAACTAGCAAACGAATGAACTTTCGAATCATTGGATAAGGACGACGCTTTCAAGCCATAAATGCCAGTGGATAAATAATAGAGTGGTGTGCTGACCTATCCAGACAGTTATCTGGCTACTCGAAAGTAGTTGGTATCGCATCTATTCCGACTTCTCCATCTGTTAGAACAAGTCGCGTAATCTTTTTCAGAAAGCAAACAACAGGTTGATTACCATACAAAGTGTGCGAAAATTCTTCAATTGGCCCGATATTTTCGGATACTAGCACTTTTGTGAGATCTGAAGCACAACTTTGGTCGCCTTATTCCATATACTACCTGCAGGTAGCAGAGCTTATTTTGATGCTTTGAGGCCAAATGCTGACATGCGTACACACAGCTGCCACGCTAAGCTACGGGTGACTTTTTGAACAATGGATCTGATGCGTCGAGCTATCTACCAGCTGATCTGGCTTAACGAACTGAACAACAATAGGCCAAGCGTAACCGGTCTCCTGTAACCTAATATTTCAGTCCTAATTCCGTGAAATGTTGACCACTCACAAGAGCTAAAACATCCTAAAGTACAGGTAAACCGAAGTTCACAAGAAGAGCGAAGTGATCAACTTTGTGAAGCAACAATTCCTCACCTGATTATATGAAATATCAACACGTTGTTTCTTGGCGGTGCATCGTAAACGGATGAAATGTACTACAGCGTGCTTGCATGACCTCACTGCATTGTCACCAGTATTTTAACAATACCATAGTTCTTAATGAACTCATTTGAAAATGGAGGTCCGTGAGCCGTAAACAGCCGGAGGGATTTGATGCTCTCGGGTTAGTCAGTGACAAGCACAGCAAACGTGTACGGTAGTGTCAATTGAATCTGCTCCATGTCTGAAGGCTTCTGCAAAAGTTCCCAGTGTTAAATCTGCATGTCGGTTGTTAGTTGAAGAAACTTTACATTCTGAATCAGAAACGTTGACAGTAATAACCTAGTTGAACAGGCTGCCATGGGTTATTTGACAGTAGGGTCACTGGAGTGATGATCACAGTTTTAACCATCCACGTTGGTGAAATGAAAACCGGGGGCAAAGCGAAACGTGCCCTCTGATGAAGAACCACAACTGTTATCCACATTCAACATTGTATTGTGTTTTAAACTCACTTCACAGCAGAAAAGAGACAAAACTTCTAACCAATCACACAAGCAACTGTTTTAATGGAAGACACGTCATTTTCAGAAGTATGTATATGGTAAAGTATAGAGAGCGAAGGAAGGCCGACCATGCAACTTACGGATTATGTATGTCTCCATGAATGAATGAAAACAGCAAAGTGGAAATGTGTGTACGATGGATAAAAATTTATTTATTTTGTTTGAATTGGGTGTTTCTGAAAAGTACACAATATGTGGAGTGCAAAACCAAAAAAAACGGCTAAAAGGCTAAAAGGACGGGGAAATTTTCTTAAGAAGTGCCAATGAATAGCTCCATGGTTTCACAGTATTCAGCATTTTCAAATGATAACTCGAACCTTTCACTTATCCCTTCGTCCACCCAAAAGAATGCATTGTGCGGATTCGAAATCTTCAGCTGCCTCAAACTCTAATTTATTCACGTCTCACTAAACCGAATCAAGAGTCTTGATACATTTAAGTTATTCTGATCCATTGTGAAGTTCCAGGTGGTCGAAAAAATGGTTCGCGATTATTTAAACACCAAAAATCTTTTTAATTTACTCTCAAGTTGTTTGAGGAGTATCCTAATCTAAATTCAACTACTGTAGGTATGAGAAGTAATCAGGAAAAATGGTGTATTTTATGTTGACTATTGTCTATTTTGACCCAGGATTAGATGCTTCTTCAAGTCCCTTCCATTTACGCTGCCTTGGGATACCTTAGTAGATAAAATTTGGCTTAGATATCCTGGCCACATGGAAGTAAAATTTTCCAGTGCTAAGCATTCGTAATCTTGTGGGATCTAGTTTCCGTTTTCTTGAAGCTCATCGTAACTCTTGATTCTAAAGATCTAAAAGAGTACGATCAAATTTTTAAACAAGTTCGACATGGTAGATTCCTAGACAAGAGACATTATCGCGACATTCGGCATCAGAAGCTCACTTATCTGCAGGAAAATCCCAGCTGGTACTCGATTGTTACAAGACAGAGTACACGTATTGTAGTACAGCCCAAATTATGTGAGAGCTCATAAGTTTTGAATCGTCCAAGAACAAAGAAATTTCGACACTACAAAGGACAAATTTATCAGAATCATCACAAGTGCACACCACATAAAACTTGGAAAGCTTTGAACCGCAGTTTTGTGGCCTTGGACAGAGTTTTCTCAGAGAACAATTTAACCAGATGAGTGAAACTTCCGTCTGAAAGACCGCCACCCAAAGAAACCATCAAAACGTGGCCACATGATGTATTTCTGTGGTTGATGAATGAACAGCACTATGTCCTATCTAACTGAGAGCCACTCACACTGCTCTTCAGCCATTCGTGGTCGAACTGTTGAGGAATCAGACAATGGCGAGACCGAGAGTTCAAAACACTGCTGATGGTTTTATTAAGTCTGTGGTTCGTATTTTCAAGATTTTTTGTACTTGAACGGTTCAAAACCCATAAGGTTTTACATAATTTGGGCTTTATTACAGTACATGTAGTCCGACTTGTAACATTTGGGTACCCACTGGGGTTTTATTGCCGATAAGTGAGCAGCTGCTAACGGATTTCGCGAACCTGTTTAAGAATTTGATTCCAGTTGGTTTACCCATTTATATCTTTGAAATCAAGGGCTAGGGTTAGCTTCGAGAAAATGAAAACCAGATTCGGTGGGTTCTAGAGCCGGGTTTTACTGTGGGATGCACTTTTATGCGAACAGCAGTCTTTTGTTTGAGAATTTTCCAGCTCATAATACGAAAAACGCTGAAAATCGGTTAAAAATAACGTGTTTTAACCGAACATTAAGATAGCGGATCCGACATTTTTGGTGTATTTCGGAGAAATCTACAGCAAAATGAATTCTCGAATCCTGGGTGGGTAGATTTCAGGATGTCAGAGTTTTCTACGTTTATGCGACATTATATATATATATATATATATATATATATATATAT